CTGCACCGTTTGCTCCCGGGCAAACATTGCTACAGGAGTAAATTATTGCAAGCATTGCGTGCGAAGGTTGCGGCGGAACTGGAAGCACCACTGCTGGGCTCTGGTACGCTCCTGCCTTGTGACCGCAGGCAAAACCCTTCCTCTGCCGGCTCCCCTGCCCGTGAGCAGCGATGGTAATCCCTTACCCACCGGGGAAGGAGCAGCTCTGGACCTGGAGTGGAGGGGGCTCCGCAGGCAGCTGCCCCCGGGGAGCAATGTTTCTGCGATAAAAGTATATATATGCTCAGGAGGGCGGTTTGGGGAGGCCTCGTCACTTCAGATTAGGCTGTAGCAGGCGTATCCTGTTTTCTAGGAAAAAGAGGATTTTGTGGCCAGCTTTGTTAGAGAGGCATTGAAGATTTTTCTTTGTGTGCCTTTGCGTTTGAAGTTTACACGCCGGTAGCTGCAGACTTTCTAGATGTTCTGGTTACAAGGATGACACTTATTTTTAACCTTATTTTTATTAGAGGTTTGTATCATGTGGTCCCGGCCAGCCCACAGGAAGGGCTAGAAACTTCATGTAGGAGGGATAACACTTCCTATCTCTGTGTAAACAGCAATCCCCCCCAGATGGGAAAAGCCAGCCCGGCTGTAGGGGAGGCTGGAGGCTCTGTTCCCACATGTGGCAGCAGGATGAGGCTTTCCCACAGCGAGGACAGACCTTGCTGTCGTCTCGGTAGCCAGAGCCCTGCCACTGTGCTGCTGGGTACCACAGCTCGCTCCGGGGCTCAGGAGAGATGCTGGTGGCAGGAGAGCTTCTCCAGGGAGCAGTGGTGAGGAGCAGCCAGTTGCTGGGAGCTGCGATGGAGCAGAGCTGGTGGAGAGGTGGGCGGCCAGCAGGGGCAAGGGCTTGGGCCACGGAGCTGCTCGTGGAGGAGGACACATCCCATGGGACATGGTCCGATGGGGTCTTGCAGTGAAGAATGCCAGGCAGTGAAAATGATTTTTACTGCGGGCTGGGAAAGAGCCACTGTGCTGTGCGTACACCGACACGGGAAAACTCTGAAGCCTGAACCGAGCAGGAGCATCGCTGCTGGCTTCAGTGAAAGGGAAAGTTCCTCCTTCTCCTGCCCCAGGGTTGCTGGAAGAGCTTGCAAATGTCCGAGGTGATTTAATGGTGCTGGTGCTTCTCCCTACCTACTAGAAGACTAAAGAAGCCCTTAGCTGTCACTGGCGCCTGGAAATCTGGGACCCACCGATCTGGAGATGACAAGGGTGCACTGCTGACGGCTGTAGGTAATGACACATTTGCTCAATTGCTTTATTTGTCTGGGATCTCCAGGCACGTCGCTTATGAAATGCGGAGCGGGTCCTGACTCAAACGCTTGGGTGCAAAGCAAGGGACAGCAGGTGATCGGAGCCAGAGGAGAGCTCTGGGCAGGGAACGGTGTTGGTTTTCCTGACCAGGGTGGCAAAGGAGAATTTTAGGAAGAGATTAGAAGTGGGAGAATAAGGTGGACAGAGAGGAGCTGGGCCTGGTGCCATAACTCAGGGACACTGCAGAGAAGGCAGCGGCTGAGCAGCCTTTGGTGAGGAGGAGGATTCAGAGATGGAAGAGATGAGTTATGTGTGGAAGGGCTGGCGCGGTCACTGGGAAGCATTCAGAGTGGAAGATGAGGATGAGGAGTTACTTCTGATGTGAATGGATGTTGCCAGTCCCACCTCTGTTGTGATGGTGACAGAGGGCGGCTCTTTCAGCTGGTGGGTCACCGGCTCCATGGATTTGACATGCTGGCCGAGGGAGGCCAGCCAGGTGTGAAAATGGCTCTTGCTGGAATGATTTTTTGCAGAAGCCTTGGGTAGTCCGGCCGTGCTACCGATGGGAGTCACTCTGTCATGGGGAGGGACATGTCCATGGCACGGTGTGCAGAAGACATGCAGCCTGCACCCAGGGGTGGGGAGGGCCCCACCTCTCCCCAGCCCCTGCTCCCTGCTCATGTAAGCCCGACCACACTTCAGAGCTTCGTGCAGCCTCCAGTGATGGAGCAGAGGAGCTTTGCCCCCAGGACCATGTCCCACCGCACGTCCATGCTGGAGAGCCTCAGGGCTGACGGGGAGCGGTGGTGGGGAGGCTCTGGTAGCTGCCATGCAGCAGCTGTCGTTCAGCAGCGACGGCTGAGAGCCTGGTGCGGGGTACCAGAAATGTCTGGCAGGAGCCTAAACATAAAATCCTTTTTAGAGGTATCTTTTTTTTTCCCCCGTGAGATGGCACACAAATTGTCTTGACTGTTAAAGAAATAAACTCACAGCATCTCTCCGTGGTTGTGTGTAGCAGAGACAGGGAAAAGGGTCAGGGTTTGGCACAGAATCTGCCCAGAGCTGCTTTGTTTGGTACCAGGCCTTGTTCACAAACAGTATGCACAGACATGCTCTCCCGAATTAAATGATAACTGAGGGGAAGAGAGAGAAAGAGGGCGTTTCAGTCGGGCGGGAGATTGATGGCAGGTCAGCGGGGCCAACAGAGGCAGGAAGGTTTCCGTAGAAAGGGAGAGGAGCTCGTGGATGCTTGAAGCAACCGCTGATTCCACCCTAACGGTGCCCTAGAAACTCTCATGAACACAACCCGCAAAAGCATTCTGCTTTCTCAAATTTGGAAAACCAACCAGGAGTAAAATCTATTTGCTGTGTTTTAATCTACTCGGCAGAGTTGCAAATTAGCTTTAGGTTTATGCAGTGTGTGTTTGTTTGAACTGTAATCTCCAGTGTTCCCGAAGGCTTATCCAGACCAGATTTCACGGCTCCTCTTATTTGCTCGCAGGGCTTTTTTTACATGTGCAGCCACATTTTTCATGCTTGTGTTTTGCAGGGATGGAGGGGTGGTCTGGGGGAACCTGCTGCACAGGCCTTGGGCTGGTCCAGGCACTTCCCCCAGGGTTCGGATACTTTGGCTAACTCATTTTTTCCTCCTGGCCTTGAAAGCTTGTTTCTGTCACACCAGGAATAATCATATTCCTTCTTTTTACTGTTACACAGTTTTCTGCTGGATCTAGAAGTAATAGCAAGTGAGCCGAGAAGATTATACCCCACGTGGACTCTGGATGCTTTGTCTTGGGCAGGAGAGGCGCAGACTGTTTTCCTCATCCCCAGCACAGCCCTCGCAAGTGTCTCGCCTCTGTATGGCAAAAGGAAAGAACAAACAAACAAAAACTGACTGTAAAACTTGTGAGGCTGTGCCACGCTGCAAGGGGCACGGTGCTGATGGAAACCCGGTGGGCAGAGGGGTGGTTCGGCGGGGTGAGGGCTCTGCCCGGCATCGTCGGGGTGCCCCTTCTCCCCTCGAGGAGGGGGGGTCCTCTGCCGCGGGGGCTGAGCTACGGGAGGGGCTCCGAGGGCCGAACCCCGGAGGGATGCTGAGCCCTGGGGTAACGCCAGGCACTCGGGGCGACACCGGGGTGCCGGCGGGTACCAGGGGTTGGGGAGCCAGGGGAGGGTGCGAGACACCAGGGGGGCTTTGGAGCCCCGGGAGAGGGATGCTGAGCCTCGGGGAGGGGCTGCGGGGCACCGAGGGGCAGGGGATGCGGGGCACTGGGTGATGTGGAGTCCCGGGCGATGCACAGCAGTGGGGGGCTACTGGGGCGCCGGGCTTGCGAAGTCGCGTTTGGAGGATGCGGAGGCCCGGGGGTGGTGGCGGTGCGTGTGTGTGGTGGGCCGAGGGGGTGC